ATCTGGGAGTCGTGTTGAGTGAGTTCCATATACACAGTGGAATCAGTTATGGGGTCATCAGATCTCTGTGAAGCGGGAATGATGGTTTTCTGTTTGAGAATCTGATAATTCAACTCTGAGTACATCACTTCTTGTGAGACGTCTGCTTCTGGATCCTGAGAAGAGGTAAATGGTGAGTGGGGTGTGAGAAATAGGAAGACCACATTGAAGAGGGTGGGTTGAAGAGGACCTACCTCCGGAGTCACCATTCTGTTCACCTCAGGCTCTCTGTTCAACACAGCAGCATCTGTCGAGGACAGAACGTATGAGAAGAGACTTCTGGGTCCTCATTTCATAGATACAGATACCAATACACAAAGAAATACAGTGGATGGATGTCTGGGGCTATTCAGCTTCCCAAGGGAAGAGTGAGAAATTCACTCTATAAAGATATTTAAAAGTCCATCCCATTAAAAGCTACAACTTTCCTTCTGATCAATTCTCTCTCCTACTTTCTTCATCACATGACTTCATCTCTCAGATCAGTTTCTGTACTGGAAGTGAGAACAATATGGTGGAGAATTCTACAGTGGCCTGTGAGCAGAGGGAAGGGGCCAATGCATGGGCACTCTCTCTGGAAATCTGTTCAGTGTTTCCTACAGATATTAGCCTCCAAATGAAGAACTCACTCCTCTGCACTCCCACCCCAACTCCTTGCTCTGCTAAGCTGACACTGGTCTATTCTTTCTGAGACTTACTCTTTGTGGTAGAGTAGAAAATGAAGATGATGATGAGGATGATGACCAGTGAGAGACCAATCAGAATGTGCCATTGTCTGGGGCTACCTGGAGGAAGATGTGATCCGATAATAAGCAAATCATAGTAGCTCTTCATTTATTGATGGCCTACCGTGTACCTGATAATGACACACATTATCTCTCCTTCCAACAGCACTCCTGAATTAAGCAAATGGAATTCTCTATAAAGAGAAAAGAAAAAAAAAAAAAAAAGTGAAGCGAAGTCCAAAAGACGTAAAGCAAGTTGTTTTAGGTCACAAAGACAGAAAAAAATGAAGAAAAGTGTTAGAGATTGCATTATGACCCTTCAAAAGGTGTGTCGAATTATCCAACTAAAAACATGGTTTCTTGCTAACCGGGGCCAAATTTTGGTACTGGTCAGCCCAGTTTTGCCAAGCCCCAACAAATAAGCTTTTCCCTGGACCCATATTCACACACAGACATATGCACACAGAGAACTCTGCAAGCCAAAAATCTTCGAATGATGGGATACTTCAGTCTCTTACTGTGGGAATGAAGGGCACCTCAAGTTGCTTATTCTTTGTCTTTGAGCCTGCTTTAAAAAACAAGATGGCAACTACAGCCTCTATTCATCAGCATTCCTCCTACATTCCACGTCCTTCGCTTGGGTACCCATAGCCTTTGACAAGTTCATCAGCCTTCTCGCACAGAGTCGAATCCTCCACTGGAAGGAAGAATGGCAGTGGACATTCAAACAGCCGTCCTAACAGCATCAGTGATTCTAAGAGCATACTCAGGGTTCCAAAGAAATGGGTAACCCCAGAACACTCAAGATTCTTCCATTGTTTCCAAAGACTTTGAATTGGTGAACAGTCTGTGGAGCAGCAGCAAAGTTCCTTGGCAATGTTTCCACTTGAATGTTTCACCTCTGCTGCTACAGTTAACTTCCAAAGACCTTGAGGGACTCAGAAGTCTCTAGAAGAGATGTCGAGACTTGGCAGAACAGGAGAATAGACACAGACAGACATAGATAGAGGGAAACAGTCCCGTGATGCTAGAGTTCTGCAAGACCAGGAATACTTGGGGCTGCCACAGTCTTAGACAGACAAGCAAGGATCTTGCCCTGTGGCCGTTGGAGATTACATGGCCTTGACAACATGCTGAATTTGGATTTAGAGCGTCTTTAAAGGAAAACTGTGTGAAGAAGGCAATCTACTTCCCCAACTATTGCTGAACATCTTTGATGTTCATCTTGTTTTCTATTTATGGTAGGCAGAAGACTACCCCCTCAAAATCTGTCTATTTCCTAATTCCTGGAACCTCTGACTAGGTTATATGACACGGTAAAAGAGAATTTACACAGCAAATGAAATGAAGCTTGCTAACCAGTTGATGTTAAAATAAGGTGAGTATTCTAGGTTATTGCATCCCCAATGTAATCACCAAAGGCCTTAAAAGAGAAAGAGAGAGGCAGAAGAGAGGCAGAGACAGAGATGTGATTATGGAAGTAGTCCGACTAATGAAATATAAGAAAGACTTGATCCATCATCACTGAGTTTGAATGCAAAGGAAAAGGACCATGAGCCAAGGGATGTAAGCTAGCCCCCCAAAACTAGAAAAAGCAAGAAAATGGGTCCTCCCCTAGAGCCTCTGGAAAGAACACAGCTCTGCCACACTTTGACTTTTGCCCAGTGAGATTTGTTTTGGACTTTGGACCTATAAAAATGTAAGATGATGATAATCATAACTGTTAGGATTGATTTAAAACCAGAAAAGGTGCATAACAGGGTTGTATCCTTTCATTATACTTATTCCGTCTGTATGCTGAGCAAAGAATCGGAGAAGCTGAACTATATGAAGGAGAATGCTACATCAGAATTGGAGAAATACTCATTAACAACCTGCTATGTGCACTAGGCAAATCTGCTACACAAGACCTTTTTAAAGCATTGAAGAACAAAGATGTCAGCTTGAAGACTAAGGTGCGCCTGACCCAAGCCATGGTATTTTTAATAACCTCATATAGATGTGAAAGCTGGACAGTGAATAAAGAAGACCATAGAAGAATTGATGCATTTGAGTCATGGTGTTGGAGGAGAATATTGAAAGTGCCATGGGCTGCCCATAGAACCAATAGATCCATTTTGGAAGAAGTACAGCCAGAGTACTTCTTGGAGGCCAAGATGGCCAAACTTTGTCTCTCATACTTCGGACATATTGTCAGGAGGGAACAGTCGCTGGAGAAGGATGTCATGTTTGGTAAGGTGGAGGGTCAGAGAAAAAGAGGAAGACCCCCAACGTGATGGATTGGCCAAGTGGCAGCATCGATGGACTCAAGCGTGGCAACAGTAGTGAGGTTGGCCCAGGATCGGACAGTGTTTCGTTCTGCTGTGCATAAGGTCACTATGGGTCGGTACTGACTCAATGGCACCTAACAACAACAAATATGCAGATGACACAACTTTGCTTGCTGAAAAAGAAGAGGACTTGAAGCACTTATTGATGAAGATCAAAGACTTCAATGTGAATCATCTCAACAAAAAGAAAACAAGCGTCCTCACAGCTGAACCACTAAGCAACATCATGACAAGCTGAATAAAGATGTCAGTTGTTGATGTTTTCATTTTACTTGGATCCACATCAACGCCCGTGGAAGCAACACTCAAACATCATGTTGTATTGAGTAAATCTGCAGCAAAAGACCTCTTTAAAGTGTTAGTGTTAAAAAGCCAATATATCACTTTAAGGACAAAGGTGTACTTGACCCAAGCGATGGTATGTTTAGTCACTTTATAAGCATGTGGAACTGAAGAAGGAATAAGAAAGACTGAAGAATTGATGCATTGGAATTATAGTGTTGGTGAAGAATATGGAAATATACATCAAGGTCCATCAGAAGAATGAACAAATGATCTTGTAAGTGTAGACAGAACGCTCCTTTGATGGTAAGGCATCATCCCATATACTTTGGACATGTTGTCATGAGGAACGAATCCTTGGAAAAGGACATCGTGCTTAGCAAAATAGCCTACTCACATCAGTGACTCATGGAGAAAGAGGCTCCCATTAGACCTAGGCGAATGAGCTAATTCCATTGTTAGGGTATTTTCAAATTTCAGCAGAGGAATAGCCTAAAATTTAGTCTGCATATAAGAGAGGATGCTTCATCAAAGCCAGATTGAGGAGCGCTGCTAACATCCATTCCCGTTCACACCATTTTCATCCAGTTTCTTTCCCTTCTCCTAATTTTGTGAAATGTGATCAGGGGAATCTTCTCTTAGTTACTTACTTGTTTTGACTGTCTTCTTGTGTGCTATGGGGTAGACATTTCTGAGAAACCCATTGATCTTGCCTCATCTGGGCTTTTGTGTTTGAGATATTCTTAATATTTTCTTGTAAATATTTTGTGATATTTTAATTGTAGTAAAATAGAGCACAATGTCATTTCCTATTACAAGCAGGCTTGTGAGAAGAAAATGTACAATTCTTTGATTAAAAGTATTTCTCACTGACCTCAACTTTGAGTGTTTCATGGAAGACATAAATAAATGTTCCATACCAGGAAAAGAAAAAAAAAGAGAGGAAGGCCTTCAATGAGATGAGTTGGCTCCACACTGAGTTCAAACATAACGGTGACGGTGAGGAGGGTGCAGGACCAGACAGTATTTCATTCTGCTCCACAGAAGGTTTATGTGAGTCAGAACCAACTCAGTGGTGCCTAACAACAACATAATTGTACTAAGTTATTACGGCAGCAAGAGCAAATGAATGCATTATTGAATCATCTGCACATGACACACACAGTGCTTGAATGAATAAATGAATGAAGGAATCGTGTAGTCTGATGAACTCTCATTGCCACTGAGTTAATTTCAACAGACGAACACTGTGTTCTATCTTACTGGTTCTGTCTGTGGTCAGTTCCAATCCTGTATAGAGTTTCCTGTATAGCGTTTCCAAGGAGCAGCTGGTGGGTTTGAAACACTGACCATGCGGTTAGCAGCCACACCAGGCTCTTATTCTCCTGAGTACAGTAAGGTTAAATCCTGAAGGCCAGGAAATTGTTCCCCAGCAAATGGAATGTCTATAGGAACCACTCCCTCCAACCCAAACCCTCCCTTTCTTTCCTTCTCCTAATCCCCCCATGATTCTCTTCCTCAGACAGAAATGGGAACAGAGTAAGCACTTTCCCATTACTCCTGGGAAAGAGGGTCAAGTTTATTTGATCCCTCCTCTCTTGGATGAGAGCTCAGTCACCAAACATCAGAGATTCAAAGTCCCCTTGAGCTCCATGCTGGCCACAACCTCTTCTACTCTTGTAGAATCTGAAGGCCAGAGAGGAAAGGTGACAAGTCCAAGGTCACAGAGTTGGGAACTAGCCTACGTGAATCTTGAACCTAAGGCTTCTATCTCCCCAAGTACCCACAAGCACAGACAAGAGGTCTCCTTGACTTACCTGGTTGGTGGCTTGACTCTGTGGGTGGTGGGGAAACACCTGGAGAGATTTCTAGACAACAGGACAGGAGAGAGGTGAGGAGAGAAGGCAGTCTGTCTTTTAGTCCAATGAAGCCTGACCATTGTTCCTTTGATGTTGGTTCACAGTCAACACTCACTTTGTCATCTAACTTGAGGTTCCTGGAAGTAGTTGAATCTTCTCCCCAGAGAGACAACTCCCTCCCTTCTCCTTCTCCCCCTGACTCCTAAGTTTATTCTGTATATGTGTGTGGTTCTATGTTACTGCTTTTCTATGACTCTACTATCTCTCTAACTGGGTACCCAGGTGGGCTTTTGTTCTCAACAATCCTACAGCATCTGGAGTTATCTTAAAACAGGGACCTGAGGATCCAGTTTGGACAGAACACACACAGACCACAACAAGAGCTAGTGTTAATCTCCCTCACTTGGGACCAATATATGCCTCAACCATACAGAAGGAAGATGGATCCAAATAAAAACAGTATCTGCAGGTCTCCATGGCTGGAAGTCACAGGGGTTACGGGAATCGACCTGGGACAGGTCAACCTACCCTGCATTTCAAAGCAGATCTACAATTTGTCTTAGGGTTATCTTGGTAGAGAACCAAGTGTGGAGTTAAAATGAGAAATCAAATTTCTAAACCCCCCCAGGTCTCTTTAGGCAGGGTGATAGAGAAAGTTATTGGTGTTTTGTTAAGTGCCATCGAGTCTGTTCCGAGTCATAGAGACCTTATATAGGGTTTCTGAGGACTGGCTGGTGGGTTTAAACTGCCGACCTTGTGGTTCGCAGTCCAGTGTTGATTCTACAGAGCTACACCAGGAGTGGGTTTATGCGTTCTCTCTCCTCATCTCTCTCTCTAGCTCCATCTCTGATTCCTTTGTTTCTACTCCTGTGTCTGTCCTTTATGTTATAACCAACTATCTGCAATTGCATCCCCTCTTCCTATGTCTCTGTAGGTATCTATTTCTCTCCAGTTCTGTCTCTCTCCATAAACACCTTGTTTTCATCTCTTTCACTACCACCTGGGACTTCTAACCCTTATAACATCCAATCTGTGTTCTAAAGATGACAGGAGTGGTGGAGGCAGGTCTGGGAGCTCTCACCTGTGGTCACAAGCTTCAGAGGGTCACTAGCAGCTGACCACATAAGTGGAGAGTTTCTGAAGGAACCGTAACATCTGTAGGTCCCCACATAGGCAGATGTCCTAGAACTTAAGGAGAAGTTAGCCTGTGTGCTTCCACCATGGAGTTTCCCAGCAAGGCGCATGGAGTCTGCAATTCCTTCCTCTTTGCAGAGCATGTAGGTATCAAACTTGAGCTCTGAGAAGCACCGCAGGGTGACGTTCTCTCCCAGTTTCACAAGATCAGGCTGGGCCAAGAGGGAGGGTTTTGTGTGCACACCTAAGAACAAAGAGAAGTGAGTTTGAGAAGTCACCCTCCCTCACCATTCACCATGGGATTTCACAATTAACAAGAAAGGCAACGTAGGAGTGGAACCCATCCATTGGCTCCCTGCATGTTGAAACTCCATGACCCAGAAGAGAAAGCTTTCTGCTGCTTCTCTGTCTCTGTGACCTTCCTTTCTGTCTCTCTTTCCATATGTACAGTTGATCCTTGTTGTTTCAGGATTTTGCATTTGTGAATTCAACTACTCACATATTTGTGTAGCCCTCAATCAATACTTGTTGTGTTTCCATGGTCCTTTTCAGACATACACAGAGGGGCAAAAAAATTGAGTCACTGGGTGCCCACATCTGAACTGATGTTTCATTTCCTCTTTCATCTCTCAGACTATACACAGAACCTTTTTTTTTTTTAAGTTTAATTAGTGCCACATTTTTCACTTTTGGTTGGTGATTTTATTGTTTTAAATGTCTCCCGTGCATAGCAGAGAAATGTTGTCTAGTGTCCCAGTGTACAGGAAGCTGTGATGTGCCTCATGGAAAAAAATCTCTGTGTAAGACCAGCTTCATTCCAGCTTGAGTTATTCTATCACTGACCATGAGTGTTTCTCATCGTGCATGATACTGACCCCACTGTCCTACCTCCTTCTGTCACTGACAAGAGCTTGTGTACAACTCCACTAGGATAACCCACCACAGTGTTCCCACCTAAGGGTCATCTAGTTAGCAACCTGAATTCTACCTCCAACCTCACTGCATTATTTATGTTCTCAATTATTTATAGATTTCAGGGACTCAGACATGGATATTTCTGGCAGCTCATTCTTCAGTATAACATCATATTTACTTCTCTGTGTTAATTCTGTTCACCTAAAATACATAGAAGGAGCTCTGGCAGCGTAGTGGTTACGAGTCGGGCTGCCAACCTCAAGGTCAGCAATTCGAAACTACCAGCTGTTCCATGAGAGAAAGATGAGGCTTTCTGATCCCGTAAAGATTTACAGCCTTGGAAACCCTGTGCAGGGTCGCTATGGGTTGGAACTGACTCCACGGTACTTAACAACAACAACAACAAAACACATAGAGTGGTTTCATTTTTCTTATAGATTTGGTTGAAGCTCCAATGGGAAAAGTCTGGGATTAGTGGGATCAGAATCCTAAGAAGCCACCAAACTGGAGCTCTGGCATGTGACCATGATATGATCTACAGGGTGTTACTGGATGCTGATAATACGAACTTCACCATTCATAGATTCCAGAATGTTCCCCACAGGGCTCAAGAGGAAATGGTTCAGAAACTGTGCATGTGGGAACTCAGAAGCAGGAGGCCAAGGTTCCGTGTGTAAGCAGAGCAAACCCAAGATGAGACTTTGGGAGTCCTTGTCATGACCACCTGGCTAAGAAGGCACAACCTTAGAGAAGAAAATATGGAGTTGCCTCCTTCCTCATTTTGCTCCGAGACACCTCTTTCTTTCTATGTGTCTAAAGATTCTTGCCCAACCCCAACATGCTCAGAACTACTATGAGGATTTCCTAACACCAAATTGGTGCTTGGGGATTTTGAGGAAGTATTGAATAATGACTTTTTCTTAAATGTTGATACAGGGTGAGTAGGAACTGACTCAAGAGCACTTAACAACAACAATTAGGTGTCAATAACAAAAAAGTAGTTCTATGGAGTCCTGGGGTGGTGCTGTGGGTTAATGCGCCAGACTGCAAAGCCATTTGAACTGCAAGGTCAGTGGTTCAAGCTCACCAGCTGCTCCTCGGAAACCCTATACAGGGTCGCTATGGGTCGGAACCGACTCAATGGCACTTAACAACAACAACACAAAGCAACACCATGGACACATGGATTAGAAGAGCAAAATGTATGTGGATGACACGGCATTAGCTAACATAGGAAAGCCATTAAACAACTGAAGTTCCATCAGAATGTTCTGCAAATTCATGGGTCCATTGCATACGGTTCTCCAACCTCTCCTGAGAGGAACGTAGCAGGAACACTCTACAGCTCCTATTGTCATGGAAAAGTTGGAGACGTATGGGTCTGCTTTTCGCAGCACTGGTCTTCCCCTCTTTGTTTTAGAGTCTAGGTTCTGATCTTCAAAGTCTCTCCCAGATGCCCACAGAGATTGGGCAGCCAAGAAGAAGAGTGCCGGACAAGTCTCTAAAGCAAAATGGCATCTGGAGTCCCCAGAGTCCTGACTTGCTTGATTACAGTTCTTTCTATAGTCAACCCATTAGTTGGACCTCCTATAATATCTTTCCCCTGTTATGGGAGAATCCTCAAATTTGGAGTTGAAAGGCCATTGTTCTGGGGGAAAGACTTCCCAACTTTGCCCAGATTATCTTGTGCATAAAGAACCCTGGGACTAACAAAACTGTAATGCCTTAGGCATGTATTTCTAATGTGTGAGTAAAATCCCAGTGATATTCAGGCCAAGGTTATATATTACATATGAACGCTCATCCATTCATTAGAAGTTCTGACTTTGATCTTGTCCACTCTATTGCAATATACCTATACATGTTCAGATGTTATATGATAGGATAGGAAAGACTGGTTAGTTATCAAAGTATTTATCGTATATAATATACCATATAAGACAATACATTGAGAACAAAGATGTATACTGTAAGGTAACAGATAAATGTATATTCACTTTTGATTATTGAATATGACTGATGATAATACTGACAAAAATGTAGAAAATATTGCCCTGTCTTTTAGACTTAAAGCCACCAAGCTGAATGAATTTTTATAGGGTATATACTTGTTCATGACCTCTAGTGTTAAGAAATTCTGTCATGTTTGAAAGCTAGGCCCTAGTGGAGCCTGTATTCCTGTTAATAGCTGAAAGGTCAATGAAGCTGCTCAGCAGTTGGTGTTACTGTCAGGGTGGCCATGGTGGCCATGGACATACCACCTTCTGCAACAGGACTTAGCAGCTGGGTCAACAGGCGCTGTGGGAATTTATCAACTTAGCGGGGCCACTTGCATAAAACTTTGACTGACGAATTGGGACTAGACTGGCTTAGTGGGCTAAAACTGCTTTATTATCTGTGACTCTCTTTCGGATAACAGAGCTGCCTGCTGGCTCCCTGAGACATATGCATAGGATAAACAGAACTGATTTCCCCTTAGGAAGTGATTTTCTGGAAAAAAACTGAAGAGAAAACCGTTCTTTAGCATCCGGTATAACATAATTAGTAGGATGAAGATGTTGTTGTTGTTGTTGTTGTGAAGTGCTGTTGAGTCAATTCTGACCCATAGCGACCCTGTAGAGGGTTTCCAAGGAGCAACTGGTGAGCTTGAACAACCAACCTTGTAGTTCAAACAGCTTTGCAGTCTGGCGCATTAGCCCACAGCACCACACCAGGACTCCAGGATGAAGATATTAAGATATAAATAAGCACATGACTGTTCATGAGCCAGAGAGAGGGGTTCAGCAGGAGGCATGAGGAGTTTATATTGGCCACAGAGGAGTTGGGGATACAAGATTACAACAGTTCTGTAAAATAAAATTCTCAAGCCTAGAATTTGTAATATTCGTTTACAGACACCTCGTAAGGGACAGAGCTCTGTGATTTGGTTGGGTAACAGATAAGCAATATGTTAAAATATAGTAAGAGTGGGGCACATTGTAATTCAAAATAATTTTGCTTTTCACATTCCTGAAGAAATAACCCTGAAAATACTTTTTTTAAAAAAAAGGTCATTTGGTTTTAAGGTTATATGAAACAAAAATTGAATCTTTGTCAATAGTGTAAAAACATTTGCGTTCTATAAAAATAAAATTTGGAAGTTACAAAAAAAACCCAAGAACAACCATGATGCTAGATCCATCTGCATACAAAACCCGGCCTTCCGCCACAAGCTGATGACCGGGTCCAAGCCTAGAATGTGTTTGTTTTGTTGTAAAGTTCCACTGAATCAGTTCTGACTCACAGCAGCCTTGTATAGGGTTCCCAAGGAGGGGCAGGTGAGTTTGAACCACTCTCCTTGTGGTTTAAACTGATCTTTTGGTCTAGCACATCATTCCACAAAGCCTCACCAGGACTCCAGAATGTGTTTGGCTGAAGGTAAACTCAGCTCTCAATTCCCACTCAACCCCCAGGAAACAAAGTTCTTTGCTGTGGAGACATCAAACCTTCAGACCATAATGCTTCCTCCTTATCATTGTTTGCTAGGACTTATCAAGACACGCCACGCTGATGATCAGAGGGGACATGATGCTGCTTCTGTTGCAAAAGAGGGTCCTAGCTCAACAAAATAAACCACCACACAGGATACCATGTGGTTGGACACGTTGATGTCAGTTTTACAAACTGACCGCAACAGCGAAGTTGAACACAGTCTTGTCTAATATTAATATCTCTGGGATTAGACGGCCTGACTAACGAAGGAACCAACTTCTTACGAAATTTTCAGAGGTATCACTTCATCTTATTTACCAAATAAAGCCAGACTTGAAAGAAATGTCCAACTCAATTTCTCATATACAGAATGATCGAGTTCCATACTCAATAGCAAAGTCTTCTGATGTGTTTTGTTGATTTGATTTGAGTTTTTAAAATCTTTACGTGTAATGTACAATGTATTTCATGGAATATTGCCCTTACTACTATAACAACAATTGTTGTGGTTGTTAAGTGCCATTGAGTTGGTTCCGAGCCATAGAGACCCTATGTAGGGTTTCCAAGGAGCAGGCTGGTGAGCTTGAACCGCTGACCTTGTGGTTCAAACCGACTTTGTAGTCCAGCGCATTAACCCACAGCACCACATCAATCATAGTATCCAAATTAAAATGAGTTTCCCAGTCCCAACTGGGATTTCTAGTAGTGGCCAAGTACTAGTTGCAGTTGTTTTTTTGTAGGGAGACCGCGCAGTTCTTCAAAGCCAGACTCCACTTCGTTAGCGAAGAAGAGCACATGTCAATTCAAGTTCTGTAGTTTCATCTGAAATTCATCCCATGACCCCAAATTCAAACTCAAAGTTCTCTCTTTCTCTCACAATAGCAGAACATTTCAACTTTATATAACATAATACTATAGTACATGTTTTTCATAAGGCCAAGTAGAAATTTCTGAAAGAATCTTTTGGAAAACCCCCGGAACTCCATACTTTCCATCTTGAAAATCACAAGACCTACCTACATAATTTGCCCTCAACCTGTCCCCGCTTCCATGCCCAACATTCTGACAGTATAAAATTCTCCAGTATGAAATATACACACACACACACACACACACACACATATATATATATATATACACATATAGATGGCTAGAGAGAGAGAGAGAACTCTGGTAGCGTACTGGTTACAAATTGGGCTGCGAATCTCAAGGTCAGCTGTCCAAAACTGCCAGCTGTTCCATGGGAGAAAGATGAGGCGTTCTGCTCTGGTAAAGATCTGCAGCCTCGGAAACCCTGTACAGGGTCGCTATGAGTCAGAACCAACTCCACAGTACTTAACAAAAACTATGTGTGTGTGTGTGTGTGTACGTGTATATATGTGGAGAGAGAGAGTACTGGTGTGACCCAACAACCGAGCAGCTGCTCCTCAGACACCCTATACAGGGAATCGACTAAGACACTTGGCAACAACAACACACACATATATAGTTTTATTACCTATTTGTAAAACATGTAATTTAAATAAATTGAAATATATCTACCCTACATAAACACACATGGTATAACCACATATGTAGTTTAAATATGATAAACCTTTTGTTCTCAGGTTTATATTGCTCTAATACATCAGCATCAATATTTATATCTCAGATTCTTTTGAATTGAAGTCAAGTATTCCTTTGTGTGAATCTATCAGAATGTAGCCATCTATTCGGTTTCTCATGAGCATTGTGTCTATACATCTCCACGTGTCTCTAGTTCCATTTTATAAACTTCTCCCCACTTCTGCTCCTCTCTTTGTCCTTTGTGTTTCAACAAGTTTTCAGTATTTGTTTCCCCTCTGTCTCTGTCTCTGTTGGTATCTTTATCTCTCACTAGGTCTGTCTCTTTATGAAAACCTTGTTGGCCTCTCCCTCGCCACAATCTGGTACTTCCAGCCCTTACAACACCCAAACTGTGTCTCAAACAAGGAAGAAATGAGGTAGGAAGATCTGGAAACTCTCACCTGTGATCAGGAGCTCCAGGGGGTCACTAGGGGCTGACCACTCAAAGGGGGAGCGTTTGTGAGAACCATAGCATCTGTAGGTTCCCACGCTGGCAGCCGTCATAGCACCCAAGGAAAAGTCAGCCTGGCATTTCCTGCCTTGAATTTGCTTAACAAGGTGAAAGTTTTCCTTCTTTTCCTCCGTCTTTTGTAGCATGTAGGTGTCAAATCTCACCTCGGAGCAGCACCGCAGGCTTACATTCTGCCCCCGTTTCATCAGGGCACCCGGCTGTGCCAAGAGGGAGGGTTTTCTGTACACACCTAAGAATAAAGAGATTGTGAGTTTAAAAAGAGTAACCCTTCTTTGCTCTACTCTGTGAGATCTGAAACCATGACCACCCACCAGTTCCCATCTTTCCTCATCCTCTCTGTGTCTCTGTGTACGTTCCTTTCTGTCTCTCATCCCACACATATGGACGATCCTCATCACTCGAGGATTTTGAACTTGTCAAGTCACCTCTGCACTAAGATTTATATGTAGCTCACAAATCAATATTCTTGGCGCTTTCGTAGTCCTCTGAAGACGTGGAAGAAGAGTTCAGTCACTTGACGTGGACATTTGAGCTGATGTCAAACAAGGCAAGAATCTGTCTACTTTCTGATACATTCTGTTATCACTGTTGTTGTGAACATGCATAAAAACGTATGACTTCAACTATTCCTAAATGCACAATCCGGTGACATTGATTATGTTCTTCAGATTGTATAATCATTCAATCCCTCGTTTTCTAAGTCGTTTCTCCTCCATTATCATTAACTCACTAAGGAGCTCTGGTAGCATAGTGGTTACGAATCTGGCTGCGAATCGAAAGGTCAGCAGTTTGAAACTACCAGCTGCTCCGCGGGAGAAAGATGAGACGTTCTGCTCCTGTAAAGATTTACAGCCTTGGAAACCCTGTTTAGGGTCGCTATGGGTCGGAACGGACTCGATGGCACTTAACAACAACAACAATCATTAACTCACTAGGTGCCAGAGCTCCTTTCTAATCAGTCAAGTAGCTTTTGTTACACTGATATCCTGTAAATAGTTCTTAAAAGAACACAATGCTCTAAGCAAATTTTGAAAAAAAAACGAGTTTAGCTAAACTATTGTTTTGATTTTAAGAAGACTTCAGGGGATGTTTTTGGTTTAAGTTTCAAAAATTGTCTCAGAGCAATAGTTTTAGGGTTGCATGCAGCCCCCATAGCTCCAGAATGTCTAGAGTCCATGAGACTTTAAAATTCTGTGATGCATTTCTCCTCTTTTGATCAAAGATTCACCTACAGAAAAGGAAAAGCTTTGATCAAAACGTTCACAATTGGTAGCCAGGCATCATTCAGTTCTTCTGGCCTCCTCACGAAGGATACTCTTCATTCCATCTCCTCCTCCTTTTCCTGACTGTCCTTCTTCCTCTCTTGGTTCATTTGAACAGAGATCGCTTGTCATGAGACATTGTCTTCTTATTTCAGCTCTCATACTGTATGTTTTTCTGTGGTGATTTTGCTGTTTAAAATGGTGGCTGGTAGCCCACTGTTCATGTGCTGACTAGTGTTCAGTTAGATGCAAGAAGACTGTGATGTGCCTTATGGGAAAAAATTGCAAATGTTAGAGAAGATCATTCAGGCATGAGTTATCATGCTGTTGGCCGTGGGGGCTGAGTCTTCCTCATTGTGCATGATGCAGACACAAACTCTCCTGTTCTCCTCCTTCACTTTGTGGCCTCCGGTCTCAGTAGGACAATCCAGCTCAGTGTCAACTGATTAGCAGCCTAATCTCCAGAATCACCTTCATTTTCATTTTCAAATACTCGGAGGGGCCTCTGGGAAATAGGATACGAGTGTCTTTGAGAGGTCATTCTTTTGCCTGACTGTCTCTTAGTTCCCTAGTACTTAATCCCATTTTACCTAAAATAAGGAGCCCTAGTGTGGTACAGGAGTCCTGGTGTGGTGCTGTGGGTTAATGCGCCAGACTGCAAAGCCATTTGAACTGCAAGGTTGGAGGTTCAAGCTCACCAGCTGCTCCTTGGAAACCCTGTACAGGGTCGCTATGGGTCGGAACCGACTCGACGGCACTTAACAACAGCAACAACAACAAAGTGTGGTACAGTGAGTTGAGTGTTGGGCTGCTAAACCATAAGGTGGTAGATTATAACCCATCAGCCCCTGCATGGGAGAAAGATGAGAATGGAAGCTTCTAGAAAGATGTATTTTGGAAACCCTAAGGAACAGGTCTACTCTGTTGTCCGACAGGATCTGTGAGCTGCTATCCACTCAGTGGCGATGGTTTAGTTGCGGGTTACCTAAAATACCTGCAATGCTTTCTGTGGTTCTGATAGGATTCTGATTGGTACTCTCATTAGATAAGTCTAGAACTAGTGGGGCCAAAATCCTAAAAAATCACCCTGGGCAGGAGCTCTCACCTGTAACCGTGATCTCCAGAGGGTCGCTGAGGGCTGACCACATAGAGGAGTGATAAGAACCACGACATCTGTAGATTCCAGCATGTGCTGGCGTCACGGGGTCCATGAGGAAATTATTCATAAGCCGTGCATTTTTCAACTCAGGGGCAAGAGGCCCATCTTCCTTGTACAGCCAGAACATGGACAACCCAAGGGGAGAGAGACACTGAAGAGTCACACACTGTCCTTGACGAACCACCTGACTTGGTGAGGCAGTCAGGGTGGGCTTTTTGTAGACATCTGGATGAGAAGAAGGCACGGTCTGAGACAGGGAAATACAGGGTTGCCCTTCCCTTCTCTGTGCTCAAAGTCGCCATCTTCTTTTGGACTTTCTAAAGATCCTTTCCCATATCTGGGATATCCAGACTTCCCAACACCAAATAGATATGACATATCTACCTACAGCAAAAAGGCTGCCTGGGGATTTTGAACAAGTACTGAAGAATGAACTATTACTAGATGTTGATAACGTAAAAGCAGTTCTATAAAACAACACAGTGCACACAATGATCAGAAGAGCAAAGTCTAGGTGGCTGAGACAACGTTAACTCACACATGAAACCATTAAACAACTGAGGCTGCATCAGACTAATCTGCAAATGCAGGGGCTAGCTGCATGTGGGTCTCCCAACTTTGGTGACAGCAGAGTCAAGACACTTTGTACCTCCTACTGTCGTGGAAAAGTTGGACACTTAGGGGTCTATTTTTCCTCTATAGTAAATTCTTCCCTTCAGTATAGAGTTTCGGTTCTGCTCCAAGCGCTCTCTGGATGTCCATAGAGATTGGACCAGCCAAGGAGAAGAGGCTGGAGAGGTCACTTGAGCAGAATTGAAGGCTAGACTTCCCAGGGCCCTGACTTTCTTGTTCACGAGCAATCCACTCACAAAGAATTCAGCCAGTCAGCTCATTCTCCTATGCTGCCTGCCCTTTTGTATGGGAATATCTTTTTATAGGAGACAGGTATTAAACTACACGTTAAGGCATGGACTCACCCATTTGTGCCCAGTTCCTCTGATCCGTAAGGAACCCTAGAAAGAAAAATCCGTGAGGCCTGATCCATCTGCATGCAAAACCTGGCCTGCCACCAGAGCTCCATCTGGTCCAAGCCAGGAATATGTTTGGTTGAAGATCAACTCAACTCTCAATGCCTACTCCACCCCCACGAGACAGAATTTTTTGCTTTGGAGACACCAAACCTTCAGGTCAATATTTTCCACCATAATGTTCCCTCCTTGTCATTCTTTTCTAGGACTTACCAAGACACATCATGCTGATGATCAGAAGGGACATGATGCTTTGGCTTCTGTTGCACAGGTGGGCCCCAGCCCAGCAAAACAGACAATCACACAGGATGCCATGAGGTTGGCTAGGGTGATGTAAGTTTTACAAATTGACCACAACAAGAAAATTGAAGAACATAGTCTCGTCTAATATTAAGTGTCTTTGGAGGCTGGGGCCCTGACTAAGGAAGGAATCAACTACCTAACAAATTTCAGGGGTTTCACTTCACATTATTTACCAAATAAGGCCAGACTTGAAAGAAATGTTCAACTCAATCTCTCATACACAGAATGATCGAACTCCATACTCAACATCAAAGTTTTCTGATGTGTTTTGTTGGTTTGATGTGAGCTTTTGAAATCTTTATGTGTAATGTGTAATGTATTTCATAGAATAATGCCCTTTATACTGTAACAACAACGTAGTATCTAAATTAAATGCGTTTCCCAAACTCCTTCATAAGCCTCATTCTGAAGACACTTGGGTCTAGCTCCCCCAGTTAAATGCCTTACTGCTGTTGTTGTTATGTGCCATTGAGTCGGTTCTGACCCATAGCGACCCTGTATAGGGTTTCCAAGGAGCGGCTGGTGAGTTTCAACCACCAACCTTGTGGTTCAAACTAACCTTGCAGTCCAACACATTAGCTCACAACACCACACCAGGACTCCAATTAAGTGCCTGGTGGTGGTGGTGGTGGTGGTGGTGGTGGTTATGTGTCATGGAGTCGATTCCAACTCAACAACCCAGCATAGGGTTTTTGAGGCTGTAAATCTTTACAGGAACAGAAAGCCTCATCTTTCTCCCATGGAACAGCTGGTAGTTTCAAACTGCTGACCTTGGGATTAGCAGCCTGATTAGTCACCACTACACTACCAGAGCTCCTTAATTAAGTGCCTGGAGGTGCCTAATTCTTCAAGCAAGCCTCCTGCCCAGTGTCACTCAGCTTTATTTGCTCTATGGGCCAGGAAGTCCACTGTTGGGTCTTTTCTCTGGCTCATCGTTTATTCTTCCATCTTAGTTCTTTACTTCCAACTTTCACATGTATATGAAGCAATTGAAAAGACCATGTCTTGGGTATTTTAAGCACTTTAGTCCTCAAACTGATATCTTTGCTCATGAACACTTTAAAGAGATCTTTGGCAGCAGATTTGCCTAATGCACTATGTCATTTGATTTCCTGACTGCTGCTTCCATGAGTGTTGATTGTGGATCCATTCAAAATGAAGTCTTTGACAATTTCAGTCTTTTCTCCATTTATCATAATGTTAGCTATTGGTCGGTATGAGAATTTTTGTTTTCTTTACATTGAGGTGCAATCCATACTGATGGCTGTAGTCTTTGATCTTCATCAGTAAGTATATTAATTTCTCTTCATTTCCAGCAAGCAAGGTTGTATCATCTGCATATTGCAGATTGTTAATGACTCTTCCTCCAATCCTGATGCCATATTTTTTATTCATATAGTCCAGTCTCTTGGATTATTTGCTTGGCATACAGTTGAAGGAGTTTGGTGAAACTGTGTAATCCTGATGCACACCTTTCCTGATTTTCAACCATTCTTTATCTCCTTGTTCTGTTAGAACAACTGCTTCTTGGTCTATGTACAGGTTCCTTATGGACACAATTAAGTGTTCTGGAACACCCATTCTTTGCAATATCACCCAAAGTTTGTTATGATCCACACTGTTCAAAGTCTTTGCATAATCAATCAAGCACAGGTATCTTTCTGATATTCTCTAGTTTCAGCCAAAATCCATCTGACATCAGCAATGATATCCCTAGGTCCACATCCTCTTCTGATTCTGGCTTGAATTTCTCACAGTTCCATGTCTATGTACTGTTATAACCATTCTTTACTACCTTCAGGAAATACGTACTCACATGATATTAATGATATTGTTCAATGATTTCTGCAGTCTGTTTGGTCACCTCTCTATGGAACGGACATGAAATGGACCACTTCCAGTTGGCGTAGATGAGTGAGTGTCTCCAGAGTTGCATGAGTTTATTGACAGATTTCAATTGGTATTTTGTCAATTCTTCAAAACTTGTTTCTTGCCAATGCCTGCAGTGCAGCTTGGACGTTTTCCTTCAGTACCATTAGTTTTTGATCACGTGCTACCTTTTGAAATGGTTGAACATTAACCATTTCTTTTTAGAACAGTGACTGTGTGTTCCTTCCATCTTCTTTCGCTGCTTTCTGCCTCATTCAATATTTTGCTTGTAGAATCCTTCAGTATTGCAAATTGAGGCTTGAATTTTTTACTTCATTCTTTCAATTTGAGGAAAGTTGAGAGCATTCTTCCCTTTTGGTTTCCTAACTCCATGTCTTCTACCTTATGTTTGAGTTCTGGAATTTCACATGTAACCCTTTTAACAATCACTCACAACTGAATCACATAATCCATCAGTCTCTTTTTCTACCTTCTCTTACCGAGATCCATCAGGAAAAGAGTTACAAACACCAAAGCTAGAAGAAACATATTAAATAAGATTCACTACACCACTGGACACCCCTTGGTTCTTTAGGCCATTACCCTTTTTATATATGCAGGATTATAGGACTGGGAATGGGATCCATGGTTTGGAGCCCAGGAGAGGAAAGAAATTCTGGAGAAAATGGGAAAGATGTCACGTTTATTAGTAGCATATACTGAAGAAACCTAAAGAAACAGGAGATTGATAGACCAAAAAGGAGGTCTATCACTTTGGCTCCCCAATTACTTCTGAGAACGGAGTCCAAGAGCTCTGACAAGAATCCAGCACGTTTTCAGGAAAAGTTTCTCTACTAGCACCACAAAGTGTACAGACCATAGCAGGCTCTTGACTCCTTTGGGCTCCAACTGTGAGCATCAGAGTCTTTGGGGATGTCCTGTCAGAGGTCCAGAAGTTTAATCTATCTGGTGGGCACCATCTTGTCTCCATCATAGGTCTAGGGTCTAATCTCTCTGATGGATGAGATTGTCTCCATCCCGTGGAACCACATTGGGATCTGCACTGGTTGTGTATAGCTTCTGCCAGAACCACCACCAGGATCAGCAAAATGACACCAGCCAGGCCCAGGCGCACGTAATTACCCACCGTGTAATTTGGGGAGCTGGAGGCTGTAAAGAGAAAAATGAGGTCACTGAAATGTGGATAAGACCATCCCAACACAGGACTCTTGATCTTGGAGCTCCTTCCCCCCGTTCCTGGTCAGTCCCTGACCTCACCCAGCACCTGTCTCTGGGCAGAGTTCCAGTGGCTTCCCTGTCCAGGAGCCAGCTTCTATGAAAAACGGACTGATGTCATTTGGGGAGCCTAGGAGTCAGAAAGAGCAGGTAAAATGCTGGGACAGTCTTTTCTATCCCTGCTCAGGGTGACCTCAGCTTCATGAGCTGTCCTCGTAATGTTTCCTTCACCAATTGCCTTGTACCTGTCTCTTCTGGCTCTCTTCATTCCTGTGACTGAACTCCTTAAACTCCCAGTTTTCCTCCTCACATATCACAACCAATTAAAAAGAGATCCTCAGAGACTGAGAAAAGCTGAAAATTTCAGAACTATTTTGATAAACTACGCTCATTGATCCAGGGTAAGTCACACCATCGTCTGGTTAAATCCACCAGGAGTAATTGGGAAGACTATAGATTGTGGGGAATTAGTAATATCTAAAGAGATTTCAGTGCTGGTGAAAGTCTTCCCTTGTCTCTCAGTCAATGCAAGGGGCAGAGACCCTGACTCCTGATTTGTATTAAGTGTCAGCTGCTTGGTGTGGTCTTCCCAATAGTTACGGCTCCACAGTTGTTCATTGCCAGTCTTTCCTTGATATTAAAACGGGGGGACCAGGTCCAGATTTGAAAAAGGTTTTCTCACAACTGCGACTTCTCATGGAATGGCTTAACGCAAGAACCTGTGACTTTAGGATTGATTCCAACTGATAACGACCCAGATAATTTGGGCATAACATTCTGTATTTGTATTCACCAAGTCATTCAAAGGAGCTCTGGTAGCATAGTGGTTACGAATCAGGCTGCGAATCTTAAGGTCAGCAGTTCAAAACTACCAGCTGTTCCGGGGGAGAAAGATGAGGCTTTCTGCTCCCGTAAACATTTATAGCCTCAGAAATCCTGTACAGGGTCGCTATGGGTCAGAACCGACTCCACGGCACTTAACAACAACAACAACAAGTCATTCAAGGACAATACATTAAAATGACTATTATTATTCAAATGTATGCAGAAAGCCAATGATAAAGAAACTGAAGAATTCTACCAACTTCTTCAATCTGAAACTGATCAAACCTGCACTCAATATGCACCAGAAATTACTGGCGACTGGCATGAGAAAGTCGAAAACAATGAGAAAAGATTGCTAGTTAGAAAGTATAGCCTTGGTGATCGGTGTGACACTGAATACTGTCTGATAGAATTTTGCGAGACTAAGGACTTCTTCATTCCACATACCCTCTTCAACATCAACAGTGACGATACACGTGGACTTCACTCGGTGGAATACACAGGCATCAAACTTACTACATATGTGGAAAGAGACAGTGTAGAAACTCAATATGCTCAAAACTATCAGCCCAAACAAGGCCAGTGGTTAACTGTGAAACAGACCACCAATTGCTCATATGCAAGTTCAGATTGAAGCTGAAGAACATTAAAACAAGTCCACAAGAGCCAAAATACAACCTTGAGTATATCCCTCTTGAGTTTAGAGACCAATCTCAAAAACGGTTTTAAGACACTGGGCATTCATGACTGAAGATAAGACAAGTTGTAGAATGACCTTAAGAACACCATACATGAAGAAAGCAAAGGGTTATTAAAAACACAGCAAATAAAATACCGAAAGGGATGTCAAAAGAGACTGAAACTTGTTCTGGAACATAGAGTAGCTACAGAGAATGGAAGAAGTGATGAAAAAAGAGAGTTGAAGAGAAAATTTCAAAGGGTGACTTGAGAAGACAAAGTAAAGTACCATAATGAAATTTGCCAAGACCTGGTGTTAGAAAACCAAAAGGGAATAACACGGTCAACACTTCTCAAGAAAAGAAAAAATTCAATCCGTGATTTGCAGTGTTGAAGGACTCTATAGGGAAAATTGTGGTGCTGTGGGTTAATGTGCCAGATGGCAAAGCCATTTGAACTGCAAAGTCGGCAGTTCAATCTCACCAGTTGCTCCCTGGAAACCCTATACAGGGTCTCTATGAGTCGTAACCGACTCGACGGCACTTAACAACAACAACATAGGCAAAATATGAAACAGTACAGGAAGCATCAAAAGAAGATGGAAGAAATGCACAGAGTAACACTACCAAAAAGAATTTGTTGACATTCAACCATTTCAAAAGGTAGCATATTATGAAGAACCAATGGGACTGAAGGAAGAGGTCTAAGCTGCACTGAAGCCATCAGTGAAAATCAAGGTTCCAGAAATTGATGGAATACACTGGAAGTCCATGCCAAAAAATCTGGAAAACAGCTACCTGGCCAACAGACTGGAAGAGATTCATTTTTGTACCCATTATAAAGAAAAGTGACCCCGCAGAATGCAGACATTATCTAACAATATCACCAACAATAAGGAGCTCTGGTAGCGTAGTGGTTACGAATTGGGCTGCTAACCTCAAAGTCAGCAGTTTGAAACTACCAGCTGTTCCGTGGGAGAAAGACGAGGTTTTCCGCTCCCATAAAGATTTACATAAAGGAAACCAGTGTAAATTGCTGTAGTTTGATGAGACCTATACTCATGGATGTAGTAGCTCAAAATGTCAACTGAGAGGAAAGAAGTCTTCACATCAAGTATCAATCCTATTCCTTCTGTACACAGGGTAGGTAGGGCTGGGCAACTTAGGCATTGGCTACCTAAAATGAGGAGACGATAAAGGCACGAAGTGACTGGCTTACAAGTTTTCAAGAGGGAGTTTAGTGTCAGAGTGTGCGGGGGAAGGTAGAGTCAGTCCTCACTGAATGGTTTTCATCTTGTCCAGACAAGTCTGATGAAAGGAAATGGGGATAAGATTCTTATGATTCAATAGTGAGTAATTGTTATCATGATTCGTTGCGACTGTCACAACTGTAAAAGTAGATGCTTTTTAACCAAAATGGGGGAGCAGTTAACCTTACAGTCCAGAAACAGAGGACCCTAGAGAGAAGACCCTAGGGAGAGGACCATCAAGGGAGAAGAACACAAGCGGAATGTGGGACCCTATCCAGAGAAGCAGCAACATCAGAGATGGAGGCAGAAGTGAGGACATGGAGAGAGGGAGCAGCTGAGGACTCTAGACTCACGGAAAGAGAAAGGCTGTGTGCTGGCGGCCAGGAGGTAGGCTTGCAGAATGTGCCCTTTGGTTGTTTATATTACACATTCATGAGTGTTTTCGTGTATACCACCCCAGCCCCTCATCCCAAAATAACCCAGAGGGAATGGAAGCAAATACTGTTGAATGATGATGCATGGAGGAGACCAATCATTGCAATGAAACAATGTTCTCCCATGTAAACTATCACTCAGTTCACAATTTGAAAAAAAAAAAAAA